AATAAATCAAATCAGACTATTTGATAACTTTTTTAGTCTTCTCTTGTAAAATATAAAATATTTTGATCCAAAAATCTTCTTTAAGTAGATTTGGTTTTAAATTTAATCCTAATTAATTAAACCTCCTAATTTTATCCTCCTAATCTTAAAGGTTTTTATTAAGTAATTCAATTTCATTTTATAATTTTTACAAATTTTCCTTAAATTGATTATTATCATCTTCTTTATTTTTGATAATTCCTTCAAGCTCCTTAATTTTTGTCTTGTACTCGTTCTCTTTAGAATTTATTAAAAAATTATTACATTTTTTTTACGACAGCTCTAAATCGAATTACCATTTCTTTATTGTTTCCTCCATTTCACAAAATTTCTTCAAATGTTCAAAATCCTTTTCAAATTGATCCTTGTAATCTTTAAATAATTGTTCTATGTTAATAAAATATTATTGATCTGAAATTGATTTAATTTTATCTTGGATTGAAATAATTTCTTTTAAGTGTTACTAAAATTAAGAAATTGTCTAATTCAATAAATTCATATAGAAATATATCTAATTTGAAGAACTAATAAATTCATCCAATTCTTGTTTTTTCATCAATTATGCTTAATTTGCTTTTGAACTCCCTTATATTTTTTCAAATAATAAGATAATTCCTTGAATTTGGTTGTCATCTAATCATAAAAATTCTTATTACTTGATTTTTTCTTGTAAAATATTAATTGACTCTTAAATATTTATTAAATCCTACTATTTTAACTGTACTAATTTTTTTACAATATCTGTAGAATTAATAGTGTTTTTAGTTATCATATCCTAAATCTTTGGATCTTAAGTATTTTTATCTTTATCTTCATATTGTATCAAATATTTAAGATTTTCTAATAATTCTTTTTAATTTAATTATTCTAGATAAGTTTATTTAAACTAAATAATTTCATTTGTACTAGAGAAATCCCTTATTAATTGATCATTGATTTCATTTAATTATTTATTGTAATTCTTTCTCATTTCAGCAATTTTTTCATTCAATTTTTCTTATTTTATTTACTTCTTTCCCTTCAATTCATTTACAACTTAATTTTATTGTTTTATTTTATCATTCCATGACTAATTTACTTTTTCTATTGTGCTATATACTGCTTAGCGAGGATAAGACATGCATTCAGGACAAGCAAATCTGTCTTCTATATTTTTATTTTTAGACTCTATGTCAATATGACTTATTTCTTTGTCATGTTTTTCACAAAGAATCTTTAAACTTAATGATTTCTTTATCAATATATAACATGTACTTTATTATTTTTAATTTGCTAAGGCATTTTTTCAATTTGATTACCAACATTAACTAATGTTATTTTCTATTTAGCATTCTTAAAAGCCTAAATAGTATCGATATATAATTAATTATTAGAAATGAGCTCAAAATTTTAAAAAATTGTATCTACATCTAAAATTTCTTATTTTAGTTCATCTTGTTATTCTGGAGTTGAAAAAATTTGTAAAAAAAATTTCACATCCTAAAGAAGTAAATCATTTTTTTTTTCAATTTTCTTTTTTTCTAAAATTTCTTTTTCTTTTAAAATTTATTATTCTAAAAATTAGTTTTCTTCTACAAAAGTTGAAATTTTTTTTGTTATTTGGCTTTCGATCTCTTTCAAAATCTCATCAACTTTAGATTTGAATTTTTTAATTGATACTTATATGAGTTTAAACTATTCTAATATTATTGTGATTGAATTTAGTTTTTATTATTATTTTTTCGCCGTATATGATTAAACCCACTATGATATTTATTCAAATGTTAATATATTATAATTATTCATTTACTCTACTAAACAATTACAACACAAGTAAGAAAATTATCCATTATTTGATAAATCTAGGCCTACAGCAATCATCTTAAGCTGATGAATATGGCATTTCATTTGATCTTCATGAATTTAAGTACCTTCATGATTCATTTTTATGATTTTAATAATAAAACATTGATTGACTTTATTCCTCATTTAAACATAAACTGATTATTGAAATTCTATTAAATTAAATTTAATTATGGTAAAAATTCAAATTAAAAACAATTATATTTTATTGTATTATAATAGAAAAAAATGATTAAAATAATAATTATCAAATACAATTTCATAATTATTATTGCTTCAGGTTTGAAGATTCCGCAAAATTAAAATAACAATAAATGTGTATTTTAAAATATAACAAATTCAAGAAATTTTTAAGAAAGCTTTTATTATTATTTAAGCCAATATAATTAATAAAAACTAAAGTATTTGTAAAAGGATAAAATTTATTA